GTACTTCTTCGTCTGTCCCCTCCCCCTCGACCTGTCCGAATAGGGAAACCCTATCAGTAGCTACGCTATCGCGGGCATAGCTCTCAGGGTCATTGGGGTACTCGAGCTCCACCACCAACGTCAAGGTCATGTACTACCAGGTGGGTCATTGTTGTTAATAATAATAATATAATTGTTATTATTATTATTGTTGTTATTATTATTACTACTATTATTATTATTATTATTATTATTATTATCATTATTATTATTATCATTTGCTTAATCTTCATCAATATAATGTTATCATAAATTTCACTTTCTGAATGATGGTATATAAGACTTAATACTTTAATTTTTGTTAATGTTTGGAAAAAGCAGGATTAAACAAGAATGTCTAATAAAGGTACTTTAATTAACTTACAAGGTTTCAAAATGTGTGAATAATGTCATATTAGATTAACTAACATTTCTTTTTTTCAGATTTAAATGTGGCTTTGTTCAAGAAATCTCCCCAAGAAGAGAAGGAAAGTGACCTTCTTCTTGACTTTAAAGTTCTTCGTGTGGTTTTCAAACTTGTTGCAAGGACTTTTGATCTCACTATGAACATTAATGTTGGCTCTGTGGAACTTAATTTCTGTGATGTAGATCAACAGATAGGAATGCTGAGCACTCCTATGACAGAAGGAGAAGATAAATATATGTTTCTTCTAAAATTTGTTCAGGTGAGAAATTTATTATAAATGTTAAACTAAAGTATTATGTATAATTGTAGGTGTGTTTATTATGATTATTTTAATATTAATATTACGAAGCTTAGAAATGAAATTCTTAAAAAATATTTTATGCATGTTCAAAATGCAACTTTTATAATACTTTTTCCTTTGCTAAAGAATGACTTTACTCCCACTGGAGTAAATGTGGTCTCACTGAGATTGAAATTTTACAATGTCTTTGGAGTGAACAAGAGAAAAATTGTGTTTCCTGGATAAATTAAATACATACATACTTATTATTAGATATCTACATTTTCTTTTAACTTAGGTCTAATATCCTCAGCAACATGTTACAGTCTACGAGCCAAGCATGTTAAGGATAAATCATCTTCAATGCAGTAGCTAGTTTGCAGCAGCATCTGAATACAAAACTAGTACATTCTCCTCTTTTATACTTCTGGTTCATTATTCACAAATCTCATAATAGTGGATTTTATGTGTTCGGTTCTTTGCAGAAAGTGGATCAAATATGGCTTCAAAGGACAGTATGGTTCTAGCATTCTTGACATGGAATTCACAATAAAATGACCCTTTACATCAGCATATACAGATTCACATCATAGTTTCATCAACAGCAATCCATATGAAAGAATCACTAATATGTACTCTACTTTTTATTTATTGTTTTCATTGTAGTATATTTGAAGGTACTTGTTAAGTAGTGTTGAATGAATAGAAACTAGTTGTTTAGAATACTTTTCTAGGAAATATTTAAGTTCAGGCACTTGAAGATTAACTTATGAACCAAGGAATATATTCAGCAATCATTGAATTGTGTGTCCTTGTCAGAAGAGTTTGTTCAAATTGAAACTTCTTGCATTTTGCGTCAAAGACATTTGCTTCTTTGATACATTTAGAACTTTATGTTTTTGTACAGAGTGCACTTCGTACATGCTTTTCCAATTGAAATTCATATATCTACCCATTTACTAGATGCATGCTTGGCAAAGTAGGCTACTATTTTGCTACCAACTGTGAATGTCTCATAAATCATGGCCCCAATTTTAACTTTGAACCCAGACAAAACAATGTCTTGTGTTTACCACTGGCAGCAGATGTGGACTGAGCTGGCAAATGCACATCTTTCAATTTATTTCTGTGAAGATTATTTAAGGGGTGTTGATTTTAAACCTTCCCTAGATCAAGGTCTCTTCTTGTATGGAATGATTGAGGCATTACTGATAAATGTATCTCCAGAAGTTTCTCAGTTTACAAATTGCTCATATGTGGGCTACCTCCAGTATTTCAACAGGAAATTCGTGGATACTACAGAACTGAATTCTTGATTAAATGACATAATTTTTGTATCCTTCTTCTTACTGAATATGAAAATATGTATTAAAAAGATGAACAATTGTGAAGTTTAATACCTCTGTAAGAAATAGAATGCAGCACCTTATTTTTAAAAACTCTCAAACAAATTGCAGAAATATGTGATTTTATAATGAATTGTTGAAAATACATAAAATCCTTACAGTAATGCAAAATAAAAGGTTGTAGTGGAATAAGGTAGGCAAAACTACCACAGGGATAAAATATTTTTTATGTAGAAAATAGTAATTTAAATGTAAAAAAAAAAGTTTTCTCCAGATTTAAATCAATTTACCCAGATTACATTGTACCCAATTCACTTCGTACAAATGAAAAAAATGTGGTTTTTCAAAAATTTTATAACTTTACATCTTTTTAATCACATTTTGCAAAGAATATTGACCCTAATTATTATTGAGATTTTCTATAGATTATAAAGATGTTCCGAGAATTTTTTGAGTTGTTTATATCCAATTTTAATCCTTACAATCAACAAAAAAGAAGTGAATAAAAAAAGAAGATAAAACAACCAACAACAACCTTTTTTCCTTTGTTTTTTAAGAAAATCTCATGTTCTGATACAATCATAAAAAAGGTTAAATACAAATTGTAGCTCTGTAAATTCTCTACAGTTTCTCAAAATTTTATCCTTTTATCTAATAATTTGCACCCAACAGCTCAATATAAATAAAACAGTAATTTAATAGTTTAATTTTATTAGTTTTAATAGTTTAATTTTATTTTATAAACAAATGAATTTATGACAAATGAATTAATTCATTTCAACTAACCACATTAAAATCAACATTAGTTTTAATCACTAGTCTTGGCATACGCCAAAGTAGGGCATTTTGCGAAACATTAGTTGTTACTGTCGGGGTGTAAAATAGAACATTAGTAGATCTAAAATCCAGTGTAGGGTTTTCCCATGAAGCAATAGATAGTAAAAATGGATAGTCAACATTATTATGTAAAAGGAATGTGACGAAGGAAAAATCTTCAAAATTTCAGCAATTTGCAAATTGTTATGAGATGTGATAATTGTGAGAGGTGATGAGAGTTTTTGTTTCCAAGTTACAAAAGTACAAAAATTGTGTTGAATTGATTCAATTTTATCCATGTATGTAGCGTAAAAAGGAGACCAGATAGGAGAAGCATATAGGAAAATTGGTCTAATAAGTGTAAAATATAGAATTTTAAATAGTTTGGGATTGGAAAAGTCTGTCGCATTAGATTTTAAAAATTGCAGCAAATAAAGCCTTGTTTGTTTTATGAATAATATGAAAATTAAATTTTAGTTTTTGATCAAAGATGACACCTAGATCTTTAAATAGTGCGACATATTCTAAGATATTATTAATATTATAAGAGAGTATGATTGGTGATCTTGCTCCTGAAAAACTCGTAACTTTACATTTTGATACAGTCAGATTAATTTGTTTTCTGTACATCACAAGTACAAGATGTTTCTTGCAATAAGTTACAATCATCTATTCCAAATATTGATCAGTTAAGTTTTAAATCATCCGCAAATAAAAGAAAACCACTGCAAGTTATTCGCAATGCTATGTCCTTTATATACAAGAAATAAAATCGGACCCAAATGGGACCCGTGAGGTGCACTGGAAGTAAAAGTCACTATTCTCAATATTTAAGATTCATATTTCACATGTTGAATTCAAATAATTAGATATCCAATTTATTAAAGATCTATGAATACCTATTTTATTTAATTTGAGTAATAAAATATGGTTGACCGTGTCGAAAGCTGTGGCTAAATCAGTATAAATCACATTAATTTGATTTTTTTGATTTAGTTTTTCAAGAAGAAAGTGCTGAAAAGATAAATTAGTTAGTGAGCATAGATCATATCATCCTTTTAAACTTTTAATTTTTTATGGCAGAGTATATTTCTGTTTAGGTAATAGATAATTCCCTCAAATTGATTATTGAGTTTTTTTATTGATCAACATGAAAAGTATCATTTACAATCAAAATATTCTGAAAAAAAGGTATACAACACTGGCCTGAACTTGCGACCGTGTCATAAAGTTTCATTATGTTTGGTAATACTGTTACACCTCTCTTACTATTCACATATTTCCAGAAGAATTTAGTCTCATAACTAATGTTTATAAGAAAAGATAAATAATGAAAAAAAAATTGCACATTTAATTTATATGCAAAAAAGGGCTTGTCTTCTAAAATGTCATATAATTATAATGTTTTAATGCTCTATTAGGACCATTTTGTGAGAGACCGATTTTGCAGCATTGACAATACTGTGTGAGTTGCACAAATAAAACAAACATGTAGTGACTTTTGGTTAGTGTTTTTTAAAGTATGTGTCCCAAAGAAAACGTTATTTCCATTTTAAAAATATTTTGAATGTGCTGCTATTTATGTCCAAGCTGAGACCTTTATGAAAAATAGCTCTTCAAAAAGTGGCTGGCTGGCTTGCTTGCTTTCTTGCTTGCTTGCTTGCTTGCTTGCTTGCTTGCTTGCTTGCTTGCTTGCTCGCTCGCTCGCTCGCTCGCTCGCTTGTTCGCTCGTTTGCCCTTTCGCTCGCGAACTCGGTTGCTCTTTCGCTTACTCGATGCATTGCTAGTTTCGCTCGCATCGATTGCTCGTTCGTTCGTTCGCTCGCTCGCGATTGCTCGTTCGTTCGCTCGCTCGCTCGCTCGCTCCGATTGCTCGTTCGTTCGCTCGCTCGCTCGCTCGCATCGATATGCTCGTTCGTTCGCTCGCTCGTCACGCTCGATTCCTCTTTCGTTCGCTCGCTCGATTGCTCTTTCGCTCGCTCGCTCACTCGTTGGTTCGATGGTTTGCGTTGCTGGTTCGCTAGCTAGCTCGCGTGCTTTCTTTATTTTTACTTTCTTTCTTTCTTTCTTTCTTTCTTTCTCTCTTTCTTTCTTTCTTTCTTTCTTTCTCTCTTTCTTTCTTTCTTTCTTTCTTTCTTTTTTGGGAATCATCCATCGAAGTCGAACCAGTGTCCCAAATTCTTGAAGGAAAGAGTGATCCATATGATCCGGGTCTCCTAGGGTCTCCGGGTCTCCTAGGGTCTCCGGGTCTCCTAGGGTCTCCGGGTCTCCTAGGAAAAGTTTTCTTTTTCTAAAGCGCTACATCGTTACCAGATGCGTAACCGTGATGGTATTAATCAAAGTTTTGCAACAATCTTTGGTCAACTGAAGACGACGTTCAGCTGCGATACTGGGACATTGAAAGGGTTTTCCACTACTGTCTGCAGTGTATTCTGCCAGGTTTACTCTTATGACCTGATCGCACACTAAAGCTCTCCCCACCACATCTAGACCTTTAGAAAAGATGTCTGCATCGACCTCCACCCGCCCACAGTCCTCTGGTGTCTACTCCCCTTGTAAAGGATCTTCACAAGGGTCCCGCCCACGTGTGACCAAAAGGGAGAAACCTCGTTACAGGCAACTCTCTGCAAGAGCAGTCCAGATCTTTGCTGCGAAGGAGGAGTCGCACAAGAGTGTCAACTCTCTCAAAGAAATCAAGAAAAATAATAAACTTAACACAATCATAGCTCTCTTCTCGTGTAATCCCAGTGGCTTTCGTACTCGTTTAGACGAATTAAAGTTGATAATCTCTCAAAATATACCACTTGTTATTTGTCT